TAAGGAGTATTTCTGTGCATTTAATTTAGAGAATGATGAGATTCAAGATTTTGACAAATTCTGAAGATGTTATCGTGTTTTGAGTTAGAGAAAGATTTAGATGATTTGGAGTTGAGATTCGTGATCAGGAGGAAAAATGGAGTGAGATGATGTATCATTTTATTATTTTTGATGACCTGTGTATTTGACCTCACCTGAGAAGACGGTGGCGCCATTTCTCAGGCCACCGTTTGGTTTCCCTCCATGTCTGAATGTTTGAATGAAGAAGATGAATTGTGAGCGTTGGATGGCACTTTGACCTTGACCAAGTCCATGGAATAGATGGCCACGATTGCTTTGAAAAGTCTGACTATTGACTTAAGCTTATATGCACCGTTTCATTTAATTGAAGTAAATGGGCTTAAGACTCTGATTGATATTCACACCTCCCATCTGGCCCAACCCACAAATTGAACTGATGTTAATTGCTATTTGGCACGCAAGTTTTATTAATTTCTTTTGTTTTTCTTTTATTTTCTTCATTTCATATTAGTTTGATAATAATTCATAAAAAATAGAAAAATAGGTCAATTAATTCCAGGTTTTTCCCCCTGATTCATGATTGAATCTAGAATTTTATTGAATAAAAATATTAGGAAAACCATGCATTTTTATTTTTTTTGTGCATTTTTACATTTTATTTGATAATAAAATTATCATGGTTGATACCTCTGTTTGATGATTTTAGTTTGATCATTTGGTGATGAGTTTTTGCTTGATTTTTTGTGTGTAATTAGCTTAGACATGTATGCTCCCATAGTATTTTTCTCACATTTTTGTGATGAAATTAGGTGTTGTTTTTAGGTTGAAACTTTAGGTGCTTCCTTGTAGGGTTTAAGCTTAGTACCTTATAGTGTAGAATTTATTTCTAGGTCTTATTTGAGGATTTGATCTCTGGAATTAACATGGTAAAGTCATGATTGACATAGTTTCCCATAGTTATTTTTGTAGGATTTTATAATTGATTTTAGTATTTTAGGTAGAATTAACTTTAATACTAGGTTTTAGGTGATCCTAACTTGCTATTTCAACTAGAATGACTTCTTTAGTTCCCTTAGATTAGGGTTTTGCTTCTCTTGCTTTTGGATGATGATGAAGGCTTGTGTGGGCTACTGTGGAATGCATGGTGGAGCTTGGAATTGAAGATTTCTCTCCCTTGGGTGTAGTTTGTTTAGGGTTAAGGATTAGGGTTTTTAGGGAGATCCTTTAGAATAAACTTTCTTCCTTCATGAAACATGGAAGGTGTTGAGCACTTCCATTCCTCCCTATGATGTAAGGTCCCCTTGAGAAGGCCTCATCCCTCCTTTGGTAGGATGTGTGGCTCTTCATAAGTTGGTAGAACCTTTGAGGGTTCCTTTCTTTGATGGTGGAGTGCTTAGAGGTGACCTTTGGTCTTCACTTTGCTTCTCCCTGTCCCACCTTGCTCTTGTTAGATGAATCTTTCTCCCTTGCTAGAGGATGGAGTTCCTTGTTAGAAGATTGAAGATGCTAGAGGTTTCATTTCCCCTTTGTTTGAAGACTGCCATTGGAGCTGAAGCTTGAAGATCAAGAGGAACAAGTTGACACTTGTGGGAAGAAGACCAAATTGAGATTGAAGAAAGAGCTGAAGCTTGAAGAAGATGAAGAACAAGTTGACACTTGTGATTGATGCATTGAAATCTTGAAGAAGCAAGTTGATACTTGCTATTGAAGATGAAAAGCCTTGAAGAACAGTTACAGACTGAGGACTGAGCTGCTGTCAGAGGACTGTTTTGCTGTGAAGCTGTGGAAGTTGTTGATCTGCTTTCTTTCCTGTCTGTTTTCTTTCTGTGCAACTGTATTGATGTGACTTGTTTGATTTGTTTGATGCATTAGAATAAGTCCATGCTTAGATTATGTTAAGCTAGGAGCATGATTTCATTAGAGGTTGAGTTGCTCCCTCTGCTTGTACTTTTACTGTATGGCTTTGCTTGCGGGTATTCGATAGAGCTCTGCTCCCTTGCCTATGTGGTTTGTGAGTTGCTTAATGGCATTTTATTTTTCCTGTATGATTGCAGTTATTCATATCTGGCTTGAGGTCGAGACGAGCTTGTGGAGGCTGATGCCCCACACGCATTTTCTCCCTCACTTGCATTGCATGCATTTTTACAGTTGTTTACTGTTTACTATTTAGCTGATGTTTTATCTGTTTCTGTATCCCTTTGGCATGATCCCCTAGGAATCTCATTTCCTTTGATAAGGAAGTGATGATTAGAACTTTAGGTTGAAACCTATGCATGACAACTTCTAGGAGTTCCCTGTTTCAAACCTCAACCATAGGATGAATCCTTGGCATGACAACATTAGGACTTGATAGTCTCCCCATAGAGTTCGTTCTCTTCTCATCTCAAACAACAGTAAAAAACATAATAAAGATAAGTTAGTATAAGCGCGATACGATCCTTAAGCTACTTGGGTAATGATAATTGAGCGGCCTCCTCTCAATCGTCTAGAATGTTTAGTATACGTCCTTTGGACGATATGCGACGCATTCGTTCCTAGGTCATAGTCTCTAGTGTTGTACAAACTACAGACAACTAAAAAACAGTTCTTCCGTAAAAGACAGAAAACAAACTTCAAACCTTTTTGCCCCGTGGGCCCATAAGTCAAAGGAAGCTTTTCTGAAGAAAAGAGTGTCGTTAACTCCCAGTTCTACCGCAAACGGTAACGCTTAAGTCTCCAAGGGTCGAGCTGCGTACGCCAAACTGCTGAAACTGTTTGTTAACCTTACTCGAAAAAATAGATGAATCTGAATTCCCGTAATCCGTATTATCCCGAACTACGTAAGCTCTAATCTCTCATACCTGTTGAGAGTACGTAGGCACAATACTGACGTATTGGCGAGCCACCTTCCCCCATCACTCGTAGTTAGTCGAACTACGTTGACTCTGATTTCTCATTCTCTGATGAGAATACGTAGGCATAAAGCGCGACGCTTTGCCGAGTCATTTTCTTTTATTTTTATACCGGCCTTGATAGGTAGATAGTAAACAAACCCGTCAGATAAACACAAACAAGCGTGGATTCCATCGAGTACGATGGACGTGAGGGGTGCTAATACCTTCCCCTTGCGTAACCAACTCCCGAACCCAGACAACGGTTGCGATGACCTTGTCTTATACCTTTTCGTCAGATTTTTCCGATCGTTTCCTTTCCCGTTCTGAGGGATAAATAACGAAAGGTGGCGACTCTTCTGTTTTGCCGGCACCTTATTTTCGCGGTAGCGACAACGTGGAGGGTATTTTCTTTAAGGACAATAAGGAATTTCAAGAGAAGATTGTGGTCGCGTGGCATCACTTACATAAGAAAGGAAAAGAAAGTCTGGAAAAACCTAATTGTGTTTCTTTGGAGTCATACCTTCAGTGGGTCAGAGAAAGGGCTGTCAAACTGAAGATGTCTTATCCTCGATAAGATTCTTTGCCTTTGAAGAGAGAACATGTCCTAATTTTCATGTCTGAAGCTGAAGAATTGAAGATTGCTTTGAGAAAAGCGCAGCGGGAGTCAGAAGCATGGCAAAATAAATACCAGGTGGTTGTTGAAGAGAATGCTGAACTTCAGAAACAACTTCAGTTGAAGAATGAAGAAGCACTTTCTTGCAAGAGAAAAGCATAGAAGGGTTTATTTTCTTCTAACTCCCAGACTACCCCTTGGAAGTTGATCATAGACAAGCTCATCTTCGAGAAGGCCCAACTAGAGGAGCAGATTAAAGAACAAAATATAAAACTTCCTTAGGACTTTATTAGCTTTTATTTAGCTGTTATCTTAAGACTTTTTCAAGAATATTTATTTGTAATCCGTTATAAAATAATAAGTGAATTTCTTTTCCGTTATAAAATAATAAGTGAATTTCTTTTGATATACTATAATGTTTATAAATATTGAAATTCCATGAAGCCTTTCATATTCGCATCTCTGCATTTCATTTTTTCTAACACTTCAAGAAACTCAACTTGTTTTGTAGATATTGTAAAATGGATTTTAAAAGTACATCTTCAAGAGTCCAAGCATCGAAAGCTTAAGGGAACTAGGAAGTCTAATCGAGAACCGTCTAACTTTCTCGATTGAATACAGAAGAATCTTTCCACTTCTAAGACTCAAAGTGTTTTGATATTGAACTAGAATTGTTGTTGGAACAGTGAGATGGATCGTGAAAATGTGCATGGGACTTCTAGTACAACGGCACATGGAATTGTTGTTGGAACAGTGAGATGGATCGTGAAAATGTGCAGAATCTTTCCACTTCTAAGACTCAAAGTGTTTTGATATTGAACTAGAATTGTTGTTGGAACAGTGAGATGGATCGTGAAAATGTTTTCCACTTCTAAGACTCAGTGTTTTGATATAGAACTAGAATTGTTGTTGGAACAGTGAGATGGATCGTGAAAATGTGCATGGGACTTCTAGTACAACGGCACATGGAATTGTTGTTGGAACAGTGAGATGGATCGTGAAAATGTGCATGGGACTTCTAGTACAACGGCACATGGAATTGTTGTTGGAACAGTGAGATGGATCGTGAGAATGTGCATGGGACTTCTAGTACAACGACACATGGGTGTATCTGCAAAGTTAACATTCAAAGTGTTGGAATGAATTTGAATACCTAAAAATGACACACTTTGGTGGAGAGTATAAAAAGATTTGAAGTTTGGTTTCCCGACCCATCTCACGATTTCAACAACAATTCTAGTTTCATATCAAAACACTTTTGAATCTCGATTGATATCTCGCACGGATTGATCTCTTCTTGATCCAAAACTCTTAAACATCCAACTGTGAAGATTTCAAAGTTTGCTAAATCAAAGATGCTTTGTTATTGAAAAAATAAAGTGAGAATCTTACCAACTGAAAAAAAAAAAAAAAAGGATTTGTTTTCTTTTTTAAAATAATTACATGGACACGCTATTCTGTTCTGATAAGCTGAACTTCCTCAAGGTTGATATTTACAGTCTATCATGAGAAGACAGAGTTCCAACACCCATAAATTCAGCAGCGAACTCTTCATCATTTTTCGCCAGCATATCCTTTAAGCTACATTCGATATTCCTTCCTTTCAGAACCCAATATCTTGGCTTTATCTTCTTTTCTAGTGAATAGCTAAAATACCTAGGGTAGTCCACCACATCTCTCAATGGCCTCTTCATTATGTTCACCAGAAATTCTATTTTTGGCCTCAGAACGTCATTTATGCTGTATCCAAGTAGAGCAGGAAATGTGCGTACCATATATGCAACTTCCTTCTTTGAAAGTCCTAGCTTCATCAAGTACACTATCCTGCAGATTATCAACAGATCAAAATCAAATCAGTTAGATGGTTAGAATAACTAGAATCGCACCTGAATCATTCTATTACTGCATCAGAAGGGAAAAAAATACTTCATGTTGATGCAATGTAACACTAAGTGATTGTGATGTAGTTGAAGAGAATGGAAATTCAACTTAGATTTTGCTGCAGCATATTTTATTTGTTCACATATAGAGATCAAAGAAAACAGGGTCTTCTAAGTTGCAATAAAGCATTACAACTTTTATGCAACTCTAGAGTCTAAATCACTTAAAATGATTGGGTGAGCTAAGAAATATGATACTAACAATAGAAAAAAGAAAATTGTGATGAATAAGAACTATACCGTTGAGGCAAGGTTCTGTCAATATCAAACACAAGTAGTTCTGGATATTTTTTGATAACCATGGGAAGGTAAGCTTTAGAAAGACAAATTCTACTAAGGAAATCAATCTTTCTCTGTAAAGTGTTACTAATGCTGCTGGCAAAAATTTCAGGGCAGCGAGCAAGTAGTCTCCCAATGTTTTCTTTATCAAAACCCATATTTTCAAAGAACAGAACAACCTGTGGGTAAAAATGAGCAAGACCTTAATGTATAAACGAATAAATGAAGCAATGCTGATAAATATAATAGAAACCCATATGCAGCTATTAAAAAAAGCAATTTTAACGGTAACAACTGAATCCAGACTTTTTTCCCAATAGAGACAGCATCATTGACCTACTTCACTAGCAAAGGGTGGGATAATTGAACTATCGATAAAAAAACCAAGGCACAATTAGATTTCACATATTGGTAGGACAGGAACAGCATATTTGTGTTTTATAGTGTTGTTCATATTATGGCATGATTCCGAGTGAAGCTAACCACCCTATGTTTTATAAATGTTCCTCCAACAAATTTATCTGTTTGGTTGTATAGATTGATGATATAGTCATTATATGTAATGATCATGATGGGGTTGCAAGAGACTTAAACAACATCTAGTCCTTTACTTTCAGGTTAAGGATCTAGGCCTGTTGTGTTATTTCCTTGATAATGAGGTAACGTAATTAGAGAGCGGAGTTGCTATTTCTCAGAGAAAATATGCTCAGGATATCTTAGAGGAAAAACTATGCTTGATTGAAAACCGATTAATACTCCTATGAACCGAAATTTCAAACTGCTACCTGATCAAGAGGAGTCTTTTTCAGATCCAGGAAAATACAAGAGGTTAGTTGGAAAGCTGAATTACTTGACCATGACAAGACTAAATACTTCATATGCAGCCAGTGTTGTTAGTCGATTCCTAAACACACCCTGTCATATTCATTGGGATGTTATGGTGAGAAGTTTGAGAGACATCAAGAGAGCCCCTGGAAAATATCTTGTTTATACAAAGGTTATTTAGATATTGTTGCATATACAAATGTAAACTGGTAAGGAAGTCTCATGTGTGACAACCAAGTTGCCTTACACATTGCCTATAATCTAGTCTTTCTTGTGCAGACGTAATCATTTTGAGACCGGTCGTCATTTTATTTGTGAGAATATTATGCAAAATTGCTACTTCTTTAGTTGGTTCTAATGATCGACTTGCAGATATTTTCACAAAGTCTCTCCAAGGACAAAAGATTACTTACCTATGTGACAAAGCTTGATGCATTTGATATGTATGACTCGAGGGGTAGGGTTGGATTTGCATAATAAATATTACTCCCTCCATTTCAAAATGACTATCGTTTTAGCAAATAAAATTTGTTTCAAAAAGATTGTCATTCTCACTTTTCAATGTAGAAATGATTGTTATTTTTCCAATTATGTCCATTAATTATTACTTTTTACACTACATCCAACACATTAATAGGGTAAATTTAGTAAAAGTATAATGTCTTATGACAAAATTATTGCATTCCTTATTTTAAATATTCATTTCCTTGCTCTGTACATATTTTCATAATAAATACAAAATGCTGAGAGCTAATCCCTCAAGCAACTTAGCACTAAAACCTTGTTCTCAACTACATCCTTAGGAAAAACTGAATGTATCCTAATCTTATTTTAACCTTAATTTTATTCTTATCTTAATCTTAGTCTTACCTTAATAGTATAAACCAGGATAAAACTTTCAAGACAATTTTTTACAGTCGAACAATAAATGCATTGTTGTCATATCACCATAAAATATCAGTTCATTTAAATTCACTTGTGCCTAACCACCCTGTTAAACGTCCTCGATGTATGCCTAATGCGACACTGTAATATATTGTTAAACGTTGTTGTTGCTCAATAACTAAACACAACATATTGTAGATTTTAACTAACAAACATTATTTTTCTCCTTCATACTAGTAATTCACAGTTTACTCTTTTAAACATCTTGAAGTCTTTGATTATTTCCAAGGAAATGAAGTCTAACATCTCAAGAATGGTTCTCTTCAGCTGTATCTATATAAATATATTTGTGATCTTATGTCTAAGGATAACTAGGTAGATGCCATAGAGATCTCAAATTCTATGGTTGGTAACATCAAACTGACAAAGTTGGAGCTAACTATATGTCAGACTGTTGCAAACGAAATCACAATGCAGAAAACAGAAAAGTATAACAAAAGCTATGTAGCACTGACACCTCTGAAAAATGGCATGTCTGTGTTCGCATCAGACACCGACACCTACATAGACACTTGTAATTAACTTTAATTTATTTATTTTTCAAATTATTATCGAAGTTGCCATGTCGGTGTGGGTGTCGTATTTGGAATGTATGTGCTTCATAGAACAAAAGAGATGATGGAAAGAGTATAATATTGATGGTTGATGATGAAAACGGAAATATGCAGAAGGGAATACACGATCCCGACTAGCCTAGAGCCTAGCTCTCCTCAGAGAATGGAAGCTTGTCTACCTAACGGAAATGATTCTCCATCATGACCAATCTTCTCCCCATAAATCCCCATATAAATGTAATTCTCCTAACAAACTTACTGGTCGCTTTCTCTCTCTGCCACCTCATCATTCTTTCCTCCCTTCTATTCTTTCCTGCATAAACTCTCCACACCTTGGGCCGGTTCTGATTGTCTAAGCCCATGACATCAGTAGAGGACCTATCAATACCTCCTCTTTGAATTTTAGGCTTGTCCTCAAGTCTGAGGTTGGGAAACTGACTCGTCATAGTGAATACCTCCTCCTATGTTGCCTCTTCTACTGGCTTACCCTTCCATTAAATTAACAACTGCTTCTTAGATTTCCTTCGTTCCTTAATTGCACGTGTGGCCAGCACCTCCACAGGTTCCCACATACAGGACGGGTCACCTTCCAAACTTTGGGGCAAGTCCTCCACTTGATAGTTACCTGTTGCTTTCTTAAGTAAAGACACATGAAATACCGGATGAATCCTAGTTGTCTCTGGCAGTTGCAGTTTATATGCTACTGTCCCAATCCTCTCTAGCATCTTAAAAGGACATTAATAACATGGGGCCAATTTCAGGATGATGCGAACTTCCACAGACTGCTGGACATGACAGCCCATTGTAATTGTCTTCTCTTACTCCGATTGGGGATCAGACCCAGACTACAATGAACTTTTAAGCCTTGCCAATACTGGTGCAAATATTTTCGAGGTGCGGTCTTTGCTTCTTGCTACTGATCAGAATGTTGATGTACTCACAAAGCCTCTTTGCAAATGGTGGTTCATTTGCTCTTCCAGACAAACTTAAGGTTTTTGACAAGTTCACACTTGGTCATGTGCCTTTCTGTTGCCATATTAGTCACGTGCCAAATTGTTATTGATAAAATTTTGGCCCACCAATTAAGTATTTCAAATCTAATTGAGCTGAAGTAGACTATAAATAGGGCATTCACTAATTCTTTTGAAGTCGATCGATTCAGTTTCAGACATATTCTCTTCAAACTCTCTAAATTTTCCTCTACTTTATATTACTTTCCTGCATTTTCTCCTCATCTCAACTTGTAAAACATATCTACCGTATATCATATACACTTGATTAGAGCAAGAGAAAAATACCTGCAGAAAGTCTTCAGGTTTCTGTAATAATAGCTGAGGACTTTTAGTGATAACCTGATCCAACTTTTTCCTTTGAACACCTAGTTCGGCAAACTGATCCACCACCAGCTTCATCTTGCTAGTTGAACAACCCAATAGTTGAGGTTGTTTTTTGATTGCACGGTCTATCCAGGTCTTTGGAATCTATAATGAAGCATTTTAATATTAGTAGTGTGCTTCTACAAATCACTCTTCTGACCAAACTAATGAAATATGTCTGCCCTACCCATATGAACTACTTTAGCCATATCTCTACTTATGGGATCTTTATTCTTACGCCAATATTGAACATCTAGAGCGTGAAGTTTATAGAACAGGAGATCTATGTGAGGCCTAATAGTAATATGCAAATTTAGGATCGGTCTTGAGACTGTCTTAAGATTTATGGTTAAGGCAAGGCATAACTCAACCCCGAAATTTCGCCTAATATAACATTTTTGTTTTAGTTTTGAATTTATTTTACCACCAATAACTTGCTACAACTTTCTTATATTTTAAGACCTGATGTCCAATTAATAATTTAATATTCACAAAGAAAAGTTTCAAGCATTACTTTTAACATAACAAAAGTATATGTTATGATAGTAGTGACTGCCTAGCATGTATATAGGTCTGTTCGTAAATATTTTACCACCATATGACCATGCTTTACAACTAATGAACTTCTTAAATATGAATGCAGTAGTTCTATTACTTGTTATCTTGTATATATGTCTGTTCAATTTACTATAGAATATATTTTCATAGTGAACAAATAATTATGAAACAACAATTCAAAGTAGTCTCCTTAGTTTGCTTTTAGCAACAATCAACTTGCCTAAATACAGATACACGTAAAAGCAAAACCGTATAGTGACAACCACTTGTGACACTAGAATCATACCTTTGCGGAATATAAAAAGGCAAGGACTTCTTTATAGTTCTTTTGAATGCTTGTAGATAGAACCCACGGATATTTAAGCATCAACTTGGCATAATCTTCATCCACGCCATCAATCTACAAAAGAACAAATTATTAACTTATCAGTTCAACGTAGTAAATCATTTTAAGATCAAGTTGCCATTTAATTCTAAGCCAAAAAAAAAAAAGATATGCTAGTCATTGGGATTAGAGAAAATGAGAGCATGAGTGATCTGTCTATCTTATTATGTCACACAACTCTGTAACTTAGTTTTAATTCTATAGTAAGAGTTTTAATTTTCTACTTTTGAATACTTCTAGAATCTTCTACAAAGAGGAATTCATTTAGCTACTGTTATCAGTTAGTTACTAACTGTTGTAAATTTTTGATTTCTTCTCTGTTGACTCTGTGTGATGTTCACTAGTCATGTAGTAAAACTTGGTAATAAAATTCTCGAAATGATTTGATCACTTCCTCTTCCCTGATTTTTCTCATTTTCTCTTACATTTTCTATAAATGCATATGAACATCCTCCTCCACCACCTTGGCCTTTATCAGGGGTACCTCTAGTTCCACCGCTTAATTTATGCTTCTGGCAAGATAAGCGAGTTAGTGCAGGAACAAGAAGCAGAAGTGTGACAAGATCGCAAAGTCAACACACAACCATAGCCTCTAGTTAGGCTCTAAATTCCATGTAGAGACATGAGGAAAGAAAAGAGAAATGTGGCTGAATTCCATATTTGAGGTTAAACTAGTGTAACTATATCAGCTGATAGCTTCAGCATCTGTTATTTGTAACCGTAGCAAAATTAAAAGAAAATTGTTGTACCTGGTTCAAGGCTTTTACTCTAGTTTGAAGGAGTTGAAGATTCCAAAGCAGAATAGGAGGAAAAGCCAGCACTACGTTCGGGATGCGATCTGTGGGGATTCCAATATGTCGTAGAAAATTGAGTATAGGTGAGATGTGATTATTTAGTGATAAAAAAAGTAGACGAGGAAATGTTTCAACGAAGCAGCGGAAAGCGTCGTGGTGAGAAGCAAGAATATTAAGACCTCCACGCCTTGCTTGAAGCTTTTGGAAAAAGGAGAAAGTGTGTTGCAGATCTTCATCTAGTATTGAAATGGATAAGCTGCGCATGAGGAGGCGAATATTATTGATAAGGAATTGAGTAGTAGTATGATTGGGAGGAAAAATGATTTGTTTGATAGATGCAACCTTGTTCATGAGAGACGGAAGCGTGTGACCAAGGTTCACAGAGGAAGAGGAGGATATATAGGTAGCAAGATTCATAGAGGAAGAGAGAGTGAAACCGAGACTCTCAAAATAAGCTAGTTTACCGTTATCACCTTTGAGAGCAGCAACGTGAAGAATCTTATCTCTGTAGTTGGAGTTCAAATTGAAGACAGCGTCACCATCATCCAAGGCTGAGGACATGGAAGATAACTGGTCCAAATCCCTGACAGCTTCTACCAACATGTTGAGATACGATGGGGAGTTTGATGCGATTGAATCGGATTCCTCCACGGATACGCCCATTTGTTGAAGAAATGTTGAAACCGCCATGCGCCCTTCCTGCAGTTCCCAGTCAGAGACTGCGTCATCCCCAATCCCCGAACGACACCGCTGCTTCCTTGTTCTACTTTTATCCTCATAATAATAGTAATGAATCTCCAAATCGTACTTTGGAGCTTTTCTGAATTTGGGGAACAAGTTGTTAACCGTAAAACGGCGGTGAATCTTGTGTGGAAAGGGGGCATAGGGAAGTGGAAGCATACGAAGAAGCAACATCTTTCTTTCTTTCACTTTGCTTCCTGCCCTAAATACCCGCGCACAATTTTGGTTCCACAAGAATTCAATTAAACTGCCTATTTTTTCTTTTAAATCTATCACTCAACTCTTATTATTTTTTGCAAAATTATCTTAGAGATCATTTAAGTTATTGATTTTTTTTTTTTAACAAGTTGATCTGTTAAATTAATTAACGTGTGCACCATTTACTTTTTTTTTTAATTCCGTTTTAAAAAAGTTTACATGGTACTAACGTTATTGATGTGTATGTTAATATTGTTGAATTAGTATTGACATACTTCAAAATTTTGTTTAAAAGATACAAAATCTCTAATGGTGAATTAATGGAGATTTGAGTTAATTTAGAGAAGATGAAGTTAAGAAATTGAGAGAGAAAAATAGAGAGAGGGAGAGAGAAAGAATAATTGACATTAACTAAAAATGGGAGCTTACAAGATCTTATATACAATAAGTGCAAAATGATTGGAAATAACAACACAGCTTAACAAAATAAGTTGAATCTAACAAAAAAATTGAAAAAACCAAAATGTGCTTTCGTAACCGGTTACGCAAAATGTTGTAACCGATTACAAGTCTGAAACTAGCAATCCTTCAGCTTTTTAACTACCTAACTGGTTACGCAAAAACCCGCAACTCGTTACCACAACTGAAATGTCAAAAATTGGTTTTCAACACACCACCTCATTTCAGTTGTTCCAAGTCCATCATGCTCAAAGTTTTCTTCAACCTTTTGAACACCTCATTTGTTACCTCCTTGATCAACAAATCTGCAACTTGGTCTTCGCTCCCAACTCCCAACTCATTGGTTTACGGCATGGAAGCGGTTCTTCCAATAGAGGTTGAAATCCCATCATTGAGAGTTTTAATGGAAGCTCAGCTTGATGAAGCAGAGTGGGTGAAGACAAGATTTAATGAGCTCAATCTTATTGAGGAAAAACGCTTGGCAGCTATATGTCATGGTTAACTCTATCAGAGACACATGAAGAGAGCTTTCGATAAGAGGGTGCATCCTAGGATATTCTAGGAAGGTGACTTAGTGCTCAAAAGGATCATGATTATGTACAATGAATCTAGGGGAAAATGGACGTCAAATTATGAAGGCTCATATGTTGTAATAAAAGCATTCTCATGTGGTGTTTTAAAACTTGCAACTATGGATGGTGATGAATTACCCTACCCGGTAAGAGGTGCTAATACATTTCCCTTACATAACCGACTTCCGAATCCGAATTTGGTTGCAAACACCGTTTTCTTTACCTTTTAGGGGTTTTATTAATATTTTCCCATTCCTTTGGAATGAATAAAGTTTGGTGGTGACTCTGTATTTTTTGCATAGCGACTCTGTTGTGGACTATTTTATTTTAACAAGTCAAGCCTAGTTTTATTTGTTCTCTCTGCATGTTTGGGTGTTTATCTTTATTGTTTTACTTGCTTTACCTTTATTTTATTTATCACACTTTACTGCTTTTCATATTTTGTATGCTCTAGATATCTGTTATATTCTTTGTTGTGGGTTGGGATGATGCTACATGAGAGAACAACTATATACCTAAGCTTGAGTACAAACACATGATAGTTTTGTGGCAAGAGTCGTGTTGACCTACTTAAAGTTAGCCCTCGATTAGGGTCAACATGGGACGTCACACCTAGAGTAGATCCTTTTGGGAGAATTACTGTCCCACGAGTCAGTCGTCTCAGACAGTGGTATCTCAAAATGAGTTTATGACTCTAGTGACCTTTTTAGGGACCTCATTCTTTGAAGACTAATACCTACTTGTGATGGGATATTGGATTTTTGCAGGAACCCAAAACCCTACATACCTTTGTTCTCATGTATACGTCATACCTTTCAACCTGTATCAAGCAATGTATACAAATTATAAATAATACAACAAGCCATTAAATCTATAATGTTGCATCTCATTCCATCACATCATTAACAAAAAACTAGTTTAGCGTATGCATTTCCCAGGAACAAAAAACTTGTTGCATACATTCATGCGTCATTTTTCATTTCATAAAACAGAAAGAAAAACCTCATATTACCTTTCGTCTATAACCAGTTAGCTAATTACCCGACACACATTTTGAACTGAAAACATGTCTCAAATGACTATGAAAGAGCTTCACAATGGCCAAGAGCTACTGAGTGAGGAGGTCAACCATTTAAAAACTCATATGAGTCGGGTTATGAAAATCCTGCAAACATTATTGAGAAAGGAAGGCAATCTCACATTAACTACCGCAACAAAGATGGTCACTCCTTTGCATCTGCCTAACTTCACTTCATGTCATGAGTTGCCTCACGGATACCACCCACCACTAGGATTTCCAAGGCTTCCTTGTCAAAAGCGATCACATATTCCTCGACCAAATTAGAGGGACCAAGCGCGAAATCAGAATCAATACCCAAATGAGAATCACTAGACCTTATGATCTGTCGTGCCTCAAACTCTTCATCTGGTAACTTATCACATGTTAAATATTGAGTTATGGCTTGAAGGTTTCATGGCTTGTGGGTTGACAACAATTTTTCTAAAACACGGTTCACTACATGATGTGGTGTGTAATATTGTAACATGCTGCTCAGCTCTCCTTGAGAGAAGATGTCCTAACAGATGTTGGAACATGTTCTACCAGAACATCTGTTCTGATTGTTTTAAAATCTTGACAAATTTGCTTTGTTTTAATTCTATAATATTCCTTTTAGATTTATCTCAGTAATTACCACAGGTCAAGATGATGCTATCAGGAACAAAGTTTTGTATCTCCAGTTGTACACAAAATGCTAAATTAAATGATAAGACGTTTTAGGAAACTTTGAAGATTTATTCCTGTTATTTTGGAGAAGATGCAGCAGTAAGTTAAAACTGAACAAAATGGGAAGAATCTAAGCCCATTTTGCACAAGGCTATAAAATAAAACTTGCTAAACCTAATTGGCAGGGGATTATTCATTGAAGAAACTGTACATGCAAATAAGGGTTTAGGGTTTGAGTTTCTTTTAAGATACTGATGTTGTAATGTGTCACTCATGTGTCTTTTGATGCATTAAGGTAGACTGTTTTGTGAGTCATTCATTCATTCATCACTTAGATGCTTGAACTAGGTTGTCTCTATTGAGTTGTAAGTTTTGTCAATCACTCATAAGCTTTTAAGCATTAAGTGATTGTGTGGCTTTTGGATTGTATTTTCTAAAAACATTGAAAAAGATATGATTCTGTCATTGTGGTGACTGGTAGGAAGTGAAAGGGGTTTTTAATACCTAGGAGTGTCTTAGGTAGAAGTTGCACTGGGTAGGTATTAAGTGAAAAGTTGTAAACTGGGTTGTTTAGCTTTGAATTAATACTGCTAATAGTGAATTTTCTTCCTAACTTGGTAGCCTCCAGATGTAGGTGTTGTTATGCATTAAACTGGGTTAATAACTTTTTGTGTCTTGTTTATTTTCTGTACTTTTAACTTTGTATGCCTTGGTCCTTATGTGTTTAACAGATATCAGTGTTTCGACATCTCTTAGGACATCTGATATCAGCATACCAGAATTTCATGGGTGTCATCCAACCCTTTTCATTTTCCAATACCATCACATCCTTCACTTTTGTGCTTGGTGCTTCTAAAGTTTCTTGGATTACCATCCTATTTTGCCAAGAGCCCTTAGTACTGGCTAATCGAGCTAAAAAATTGACTATGATATTTTCCTCTTAGGGAATATGTGTTACCTCAAATTTTGTGAAGCCTTTTGCTAATTATAGAGCTTATTGCAGGTACCTGATTAATAATGTATCCTTTTTCTGAAACTCTCTTTTGATTTGACTAGCTACCAATTGTGAGTTAGTTCGAACCAACATATGAGAAACTTCGACTGCCTTGGCTAGCTTTAAACCGACAACCACTACTTTGTATTATGCTTGATTATTGTTGGCTTGAAAACTGAAGTAAATAAATTGCTCTAGTATCAATTCCTCAAGTCCTTCTTGCACTATTCCTGCTCCACTACCCTTGAGGTTAGATGAGCCATCCATTGATAACTCATTGCTCTGGTATTTCCTTTGGGCTTACCTGTGATTTGATGTTGTTTTTAGGCGCGTATGTAATATCATACTCGGACAATTCTACCACCCATGTTACCATTCTTCTTGCTAGACCCGACTTCTTTGAAATGTGTTTTATGGGGGTAATTTGTCTTAACTATTATAGGATGTCCCTGGAAGTATTTCCTGAGCTTCTTGGCGATAACCACTACTACCAAAGCTACTCATTCAATTTTCATGGCGGTAACCACTACTGCCAAAGCAGACAAGAATTAGTTTAACTCCCTAAATGCCTTATCACATTCTTTCGTCCATAAAAATTCAACCAATTTCTTTATAGCTACAAAAAAGTGTATGGACTTATTACCTGCACAAGATAGAAATCAGGATAAGGTAGCTAGCCTCAATGTTAGTTGTTGGACCTTTTTAAAGATGTCGGGTTTCTCATATTAAGGATAGCTTGTAATTTATTTGGATTTGCTTTTATTCCTCGGTGAGTCAACATGAAGCCAAGGAATTTTCTGGCCTGCACCCTAAACGTACATTTTTCGGGATTAAGTCTCATGTCAAAATTCCTTATTGATTCAAAGGTCTCTTTCAAGTCATCTACATGCCTTCCTTCTTCCTGAGTTTTGACTAACATGTCAACAACGTATACTTCAAGATTTCTTCCTATCTACAACGAGAATATCATGTCCATCAACCTCTAATACATAGCCCTAACATTTTAAAGTCTAAAGGGCATTACTTCTTAGTAATAATTGTTTATGTCGATCATGAATGTTGTTTAGAGTAGATAAATTTGCCTCATATGTATTTGATTATATCTTAAGTAGGTGTTCATGAAGCTGGGCAAACAAAAACCTGAAGCAACATTGATCAATCTATCAATATGTGGCAACGAATAGGGTTCCTTCGGACAAGCTTTGTTTAGATCGGTAAAGCACAG